GTCCCTCCCCCCCCCCCCCTCGACCGTCCCGCTGGCGTCCCCCGCGCTTTGGCGGGAGCCGCTTGTCGCCCTCGCGCGAGAGGGCGGGCCGCCGCGGACCGAATCGGGGCGGCCTCCTCGGGCCCGCCCTCGGAGCGGGCAGCGTGCCAGGAGAGGCTCGCCGCCAGTGCCCCTCTCGAAGAGCAGGAGGAGGAAGACGAGGACGAGGAGGACGTGAAGGAAGAGGACGAGGAGGAGGAGGACATGCAAGACGAGGACGAGGTCGAAGAGGACATGAAGGACGAGGACGAGGACGAGGACGAGGAGGAGGAGGAGGAGGAGGGCGAGGGCGAGGAGGAGGAGCAGGAGGAGGAGGCGGATGATGACTGACAATTCTTCCAGATCTGCGAGCGGGCCGCCATTAACAGTTACTCGGTGGAACAGAAAAGACCGAGGAATTGCGAATTGGGGACACCCATTGCTTGGAGAGCCCCCAACTCGCAGCCTGTTCTGTTGTGGGGGTTGCTAGATGGGGGCCAGCCCGCGCTAGCACCCCCCAAAACGGCTCCCTAGAGGGCGGCAATCCGCGCGCAGCGGTCGCAGCAGCCACCATCTGGCGGCTGAACGACCCTGCCATCCCCCGAGGTTGGGGGGGGGGGCCGACGAGCAAGGGCGTAGTGTTGCGAGGAGGGGAGGAGGATGGGGTAATGCGGCGGAGCGGTTCATCGGGGTTGGAGGCAACAGGAGGTGAAGGCTGCCTCGGTTAGGAGGAGGAGGAGGAGGAGATCGAGGAAAAAGGAGGACAAGGAGGGAGACGAGGACAAGGGGGAGACGAGAGATCCCGCGTTGAGTCCCGGGGCGAAGTACCAACACTTCGCAAGGCCACTTCTGGGCCTGACGTGCGACTGTGTTCTTTCAGAAGGAGGAGGAGGAGGAGGAAGGAGGAGGAGGAGAAAGATGAGAGGAGGAGGAGGAGGAGGAGGAGGAGGAGGAGGAAGGAGGGAGGGAGGAGGAGGAGGAGGAGGAGGAGAAAGATGAGGGATGAGGGAGGGAGCAGGAGGAGGAGGAGGAGGAGGAGGAGAGCGAGAGGAGGACGATGAAGGAGGTCGTCAGGGAGGAGAAGTAGGAGACGGAGGAGAATGAAGAGGAGGATGAGGAGGAGTGCGAGGGAGAGGAGAAGGAGGACGAGAATGAAGGGGGAACGAGAACGAGGACCAGGAGAAAAACGAGGAGAACGTAGAGACGGGGGGCAGTACACAGCCAGCGCGCCGCCCCTCCTCCTCCTCCTCCTCCTCCTCCTCCTCTCTCCTCCTCTTCCTCCTCCTCCTCCTCCTCTCCTCCTTCGCATCACACCTCTTCCTCTGCTGCTCCTGCTCTCCTCCTCCTCCTCCCTCCTCCTCCTCCTCCTCCTCCTCCTCCTCCTACTCCTCCTCCTCCGCCCAACCTCCTTCGTGCCCTCTCTCTTCCCTCCTCCTCCTCCTCCTCCCCCCACGTTCCTCCCCCCCTGCCCCTGCCCCTCCTCCACCTCCATCATATCTCTGTTCCTTGAAAAAATCTCGCTTGAGACGTCCTCACAATTTTACGCCGCGAAGCTCCAACCTTGCAATAGGGACACATAGAGGGCCAAGTCCTTCCAAGAATGGAGCGTTCGAAATGGCACCGCGCACGTTTGCCGAAAACGTGTGCAACAGATCCAGGATGGAAACCGGTCGGCTTCCAGTGGGAATATCGCTCCAGCGCCGCGCACATTCGTCGCAGACGCTTGCAACAGTAACAGTGCTGGAGACTAGTATCTGTCAAAGTGGGTCTCTCGTCGGAGACTTCCAGTTCTTCCGTCAGGGGGGCCGTACTTTTCAAAATGGTGCTCCCGCCCCAGCGCCACAGACATGCATTTTGAAATCTTGCAACAGCTACAGGGTGGAGGCCAGTACCTTTCGAAATGGGACTCCCTCCGTGGTGCCGAGCACACGTGGCTCTTCAAACTTAAAAAGCTACACGGACGAAGGTCCGTACTTTTTCAATATTGGAACCTCGCCTCAGCAACGCGGCTATTCGTTGTGAAAGCTCACAGTCAAAAAAGGATGGAGGGCGGCGTCATTTCAAAATTCTGATCTCGCCTCAACTCCCAGCACACAAGTCTTCCAACTTTGCAGCTGTTGTCAGGGATGGAAGCTGGTACCCTGTTGAAGTGGAAATCGCGTTTCAGAGGTCCTCAACTCTGACATAGAGCAGCCTGAACATATGTAGAAACTGCATGGATGCAAGGCAAAAGGTGTAAACTAATGCAACAATTCCACGGATGTGGCAGTTCCGTGTCAAAAAGGGGCTCTGGTTGGCCTGTCGCTGAACTGTATGATCATACCTCGACGGGTTCCTTATTCGGGGGCGCGCAAACATGGATTAGCGATTCATGGATTTGGCGCGCGGTCGCCAAATCTATGGATCGGGGGAGGTGCCCGCCCCAAAATGCGGCCGGTGCGGCCTCGCTCGGCGGCGGAAATCCGCGATTCCCTATGGAAATGGACCCGTCGCTAATCAACGCCCCCATTGATCCATGTTTGCGATCGCCTGACTTATGGCTCGCTAGATGGGTGCAAGGGAGCGTCTGCTCACACAGGCTAGAACCATGGCAAGCCACTGGGGCGCCTCGTTCAAGGGTCGCCTCTTGCAGTGAAGAGGCAGGCTCGCAGGGCCTTGCGAGGAGGGTGCTTTGCAGCATCGCATCCTCCGCCTCCTCCTCCGCCGCCTCCTCCTCCTCCGCCTCTTCCTCCGTTTCCTAGGCATTGTTGTTACTATGGAACTCCTCCAGCGCCTCCTCCTCCTCCTGCTCTCGATCCCTCCCCATGGCACCCGTCACCTCAGCTGCCCTCCCTCGTGGAGGACAGGGGTCCAGGGACCCGCCTCTCTTCGCTCCCGCCCTCCCTCGAGGACACCCATGCCCCGTGCCTCCCTCTCCTCCCCCTCCCCACCATGCACACCTGCCTCACAACTCCTTCCCGCCGCCCCACCTCCCTCCCCATGCCTCCTATTCCCACGTCCGCCCCTCCCTCCCCTCCATCCGTCCTCCTCACCCTCCTCTCTTTCCCCCCTCCTCCCGTCCCCCCCCCCCCTCTCCAGCCCTCGGAAAAGGCAGGAGATGTAGGTGTGGTGGTGGTGGAACTCTGCGTCTTGTCGGTGCCGACGTGCAGTGGCCCTTATAGTGGGCCGGCTCGGACCCGGCCTGTAGCCAGGTGGAGGGTGTGGCGGGCCCGATCCATTGTCAGGCCCTTTTCCGAAGATTTGTCGGGCCCAGGCCGACCCGCTCCTTGGCAAGTCCGCCCGAGCCCCGCAGGGGCTCTCCTGCATGGGGCAGCCCTCTGGGGCTCCCCACGCGAGTCGCAGGTCAAGGCCCCTAGAGGCCCACGGCCTACGGCGTTCTTGCCGTATCCGCTGGGCCCTGGCCGCTGGGCCACTGGGCGTCGGTCAGAGGGGGGCGGGGAGGGAGAGGCTGAGGCGGAGGCGGAGTCGGGGGACAGAGGAGGGGAGAGAGTCCGATCACCTCAGCAGCGTAGGCCTCCTCCTCTGTGGGGCCCTGGCTGTCTTCACGATCCTGGGAGGGGCCCGGGGGGTCCTGGCCAGGCGGGTCCGGGGCCTCAAAGCGGCCCTTCTCAGGATCAGGCCTGCTGCGGCCCTTTCCCCCCGCAAAATCTGGGGCCCACTCCCTGGCCCCGTCCTTAGTCGCAGGGATCTCTGAGACATAAAAGTCCGCCAGGCCCTGCACAAGGAGGTGGTGAGACTGGGATTCATCCCTGGGCGCATCCAGGAGCGCTTCGTCAAGAGCCGATTCGAGCGTCTCCAGAATGCTCTCCGCGATGCAGCGGCAGAGGCCCGGGGGGTAGACCTTCTTCCGCGCGGTCCGGAAAGCCCTGGACCCTACCTCGCGCCCTAGGAGAGTGGCATGGGCCTCTCGCCCGTGGGAGCACTTTCCTCCCCCAGGCGTCGCAGTCAGGCGACTGTGGAGCCCCGCCATGCGGAGGCCGAAAAGTCTGGTCGGGGCCCTGCTCAGCTGGCCGTGCTCGCACTAGTCGAAGTCCGTGGTCGTGGAGCACGGCGCCGACAGCAGCGCGAGCCACGGCTCCCATGTCCACGATGGGACGGCTGCCAGCCGCCAGCTGCACGGGATGGGGCGTTCCGACCACCCTGCCGTGCCTGCCACCAGGTGCGCCGCGAGGAGAAGCACCATGGACTGCATCAGGGCATCCCCCACGGCAAGCTGGATCCTCTGCTGCGGTGCAGCGTGCGCCACTCCCCAGAACTGGTCGTGGGACCTGAGCGGCGGTGGGCCTGGCAGCTCTGACCATCTCGCCGCACTCCATGTCTCACATGGCGGTCCTCCTCCCGACATCACGATCTGCCTCTTCAGGATCCCTTCGTGGAAGACCATCAGGCTGTCCTGGCGCATGAGGTCGCAGCGCTGAGCATCGATCGCCACGTCGATGCTGAGGACCATGATGTGCACCTCCTCTGACATCACTTCGAACTTCGGCGCTGACTCGAACACATGTTGAATGTTATCATTGCGCCTGTGCCCGCAGAATAGGTTAGTACGTAGATCTCTGCCATTTGTATCCTCCATGGTATCTTCACCTCCGTGGTGACCCCGCTGCACTTGTCGGTGCGGAACTGGTCCAGGTCGTACCTTTCGTCATGCTGAACTTCCGGCTTCTCCTGAGGTCGTTCTTCTGAGCCCTCCTGCAGCGTGGTCCTGGCAGCGTCGTCGAGCACGTAGTCTGCCTCGAGCAGGACCGTCTTTGCATCGTCTTGGCTGAGGGACACCACGTCTGGCAAGGGCCCCGCTGCCTTGATCTCGGGCATGTTCACTCTCTTCCTCAGTCAGCCTCGCGGGAGCTCCTTGCGCGTCTCGCGCTCCTCAGCACCAGGCGCCTCTCCCGCATTAATGGTCGCGACGAGGCAGGCAGGCGATGCAATTGCCAGGTGCTCGGTGAGGTGGTGGGTCTGGTCGAACAGCGTCAGGCATCCTTGCCACTGCGTTGCTGAACCCGTCCAGGTACGCGCTAGACTAACCATGGTCCAGTGCTGCTGCGAGATGTGGACTCTGAGCCTTCTTTGGCGCCTGAACGTCCTCTGGCACCACGTGCATGTCCATCGTCTCGTCGACGCTGTGTCTGGCTCGTCTGCCTGCGGGGGGCCCAAAAGGGCTGCCTTCCCTCGTGGAATACGGCGCCCCCGCTGGCTGCACTGCGGCGAAGAAGCGCTTCTCTGCCATGCGCGCCGCGTGACCTCTGCTCAGCTGCGCCGCCGCCGCCTTGAGCGCGTCGTTGAGCCTGTACTTCCACGAGGAGCGCGAGCGTAGAATCATCATCTCCCAAGGCCTCAGCTCCTCGCCGGGGTCCGGGAGGTCCTGCAGGTCCGCCGAGTAGCCCTGCAGCCAGCGGAGGTCCCCCATTAGCACCTGCGGCCAGGACTGCCTCTTGGCATGCTGGGGCCGCAGGAGGAGCTGGGCCATCGTCGCAAAGGCGAGGGGTGGTCCTGCTTGCAGTAGTCCACCAAAAAGCCTTAGCCTCGCTACTCTCAGCAGGTCCTCCGGCCGAGCCCTTCCCACCTTGGCGAGCAGCGCCTCACCCTCTGCCTCTGGGTTGGCGTCGAGGCCCAAATCGCCGTTCTCTTTCGTGGCGAACTTTTTCCCCGCCGCCGCCCTGTAGACTGCCATGACCATGGCGCGGTGATACTTGGCCTCCGCCCTCGTTAAACCTGGCCAGCTGCCTTGCGAGAAGCATCTCGACGAGCATACCAGGGCGTCGGCGAAGACCATCTTGGCAAGCAGGTCCAGCTGGTGGTTGCGGAAGACCTTCTCTCTGAGCTTCCTGAGAGCGGCTGTAGCGGTGGCTGCGCGGCGGTAGAGCTCGGGGTACACCGCGCCGTGGTCGTCGATGACCGCCCCCAGCGCCACGTGGTTGTGCTGCGTGGATGATGGTCCCCTCGTAGCGCTTCGACCTGAGCTTGACCCTTCCACGGCACTCATGGCATAGGGTCCTCCTCGCACCCTTGGCCCCTTGACCTGCGAAGGCAAAGAGCACCTCCGATTTTCCAGGATCCAGGTTGAGGACGAGGCCGAACTCCGCGAACGTGTCCAGCACAATGCCTGCAATGACTGCCACCGCATCCATCGCCTCGTCGGCCTTGCCGATGAAGAAGAAGGCGCCGTCGTCCGCAAAGGCCACGCTGTGGCCTGGTATCTTCTCGAAGTCGAGGTCGCTGTCGAGCTGCTGCGCCAGCGAGCGCACGTTGGCACCTGTGACAAAAATGCCGTAGCCCTCCTCCTCGACCCTCGCCTCCGAGACCCTGGTGGCCTCCGCCACGGCGATCTCGTAGATCTGGTCGGCGAGAGGTTGGCCTGGGATCGAGGACTTGGTGCCAAGAGCGACGTGGTCGGAGCTCTCGCAGACGAACCATGAGGCCGCGCACTGCTCCTCGACCAATGCCTTCAGATGCTCGCTGGCCTCCGCACGGTGGAGCAGCGGCATCCAATCCTCGAGCTTCTTCTTCAGGATCTCCAGGGCCGCGGGCGGGACGGCCGATCGCATCCTTGTCTGCCTTGGCCATGGGCGTGCGCAGCACCAGCTCCCTGACCATGGCGTAGAAGGCGCTCTTGACGCCCATGAAGATTGCCGCGAAGGACAGCATGTTGGCGGACGCCGCTGACTGCAGCATCCTGGTGACCACAGACGCATGCTGTGTGCCTCTGCGCCTGACACCTCCAAATTGGCGGTCTCCTACGGCCTGTGGTAGGTACTCGGCCACCTTTGACCTGTAGAAGTGCCTCACCCTTTTGCCCACCATGGCCGTGACCGCGAAGCACCTGTGGTTGCCGCACTCTTCGGTATGCTTCCTCTTGTGGTGGTGTCTGTAGAAACCGCCTTTCCACTGTACTGGCTCCACTCCTGTGCAGGCAAACTTGGCTGCCAGTGGGTGGTACGCCGCCGCCAGTGTCTTCGGCTGTGTCCGAAAGAACTTCCCCATAAGGCCGTCGACCCCTGGCGCTGAGTCCTTTGTGATCTTCATTGCGCGCTCCATGTCCGCCAACGTCGGGATGCAGCTGGGGTCGAGTACGTCTGGCATCAAGCCTCCCTTCTCAAACTGCGCTGCATGAGCTTGTGGAGGTCCGCGATCGGCACGTCGGCCGCGAATTCTACCAGGCTGAAGTGCTGGAGCCACCTGTTCCCCATCTGGGCCTGCGACGTGGCGCACGTGCCGTCGAGGAGTTTGACCGACGGGAGGCACTTGTTCATCATGCGCTTCTGAGAGCCGATGCCCATTCCCCTCGGCCGTGCAAACGCTACGTCCGTTTGCCTCTTGTCCCATGCGTCGCGTATGTCTCCTGCAATGCGATGGTACTGATCTCGAGCGTCTTGGCGGTGAGAAGCCAGAATGTCTGCGCCCACCAGCTTCCAGCACCACTGGCTCAGAGCCTCAGTCCTGGTCTGGATTATGCTCGCCATCCAGTAGAGGGTCGGCAGCAGGGTCTCCCAGTCGCCCCCCGCCTCCTCCATGGCCTTGATGAGCGTCTGGGTCGGGCTGATCGCCAGGCGCTCGTGGAACAGGTGCCCGTCGGGCCTCTGTGGCTTGGGCTGTAGGCTGTAGGTGCCTCTCTTGCTGGCCTGCTTGTTTTGATCCGGCAACGTGGCGACGCGTGAGGCAGCCCTCGGCTCGAGGAGCACCGGGGCCGCCGGTTCTGACCTTGGCAAAGCGTGGCCATTCGAGGCATCCGGCGTACCAGTGGCGACGACTTGGGACGCTCTCGGCTCGAGGAGCACCGAGGCGCCCCGCTCTGACTTCGGCAAGACATGGCTGCCTTCATCAGCTTCACCTCGCCACTGGTCAGCACCTGCTCCTGCTGGTGGGTCTGGTTCGAGTCGCCGACGTCGCCTTGTGCCTTCGGGCGGAGCCCGCCTTCCAAGTACGCCACGAAATTCAGCTCGAATATTGTCCAGGGTGCGCCAGTGCTCCGCCACCAGCCTGTCCCTGCTGGCATGCTCGCCCTGGCGATCCTGCCACCAGATCCAGTTGATCATGCCGGCCCTGCGGTCCACCGTGTTGCTCCACGCGGCCTCGCAGATGTCCTCTGCGATGCGGTCGATGTGCTTGGCCTCGCCGTCCCTGGTGTCCTGGGTGGCACGCAGCCTCACAGGATGTCGCGGCGTAGGAGACGTTTGACGACAGGTACACACCACAGCTTCCATGACCTGTGGCTGCCCTCCGCCTCCGCTAGGTTGTAGACCCAGAAGGTGGAGCGCTCTTCCATGCGCCCCCTCAGGTCTTCCTCCTCGTCAATTGCGGCCCCCCACGGCGGGTCGCACATGTCCGCAGGTTGCTGTACTTCGCCCTGCTGCACTGCGGATGCTTGGCTGCTTCTGGCGTTGGTCCGTCTCAGGTTGTCCGATGCTTCCCCGACGGCTTGACTTAACAAGAGCTCGTCGTGTTTGGGTTGCAGCATGCCTTCACTCTGGCCCAAACACCATCTGCCGCCAGCGTGCCCCTCGTAGTCCGTCGTGAGGGTCGCGGGCCCTGTCTGGCTCCTCCAGGTCGCTGTTGCCCGCGAGGTCGGCCCACAAGAGTGGCGGGTCGATGGCGGCACTGCACGTAGGCGCTGGCCATCGCGCCCATGCGGTTGCACCCTGGGCGTCCCCTGCTTCAGCTGGGATGTCGAAGTCGGGCACATCATTGAAGGTCACGTGCTTCGAGGTGCGGCCCTGGGGATACTGCGTCGATATTCTTCCTTGCTTCTTTATCTTTGCAGGGTGCTGCTGGCCCATGACCATGGCCGAGAAGTCGTGCACCTGGCGGTAGTCCTGCAGTGCCGTGCGGCATGGTTCCACGACCTTGTCGCACGTGACCCTGCCTCTTCTCGATGCTTGCCACTGTGCTGTCCTCAGGTTGTGCCACAGCCCCTGGTCGCAGCAGTTGGCCCACGCCGCCATCGTAACCACCAGCATGATGTGACCCAGGCGGTTCCTGGCCCTCCTTGTGGCCCTTAGGAGCAGCGCCCTAACATGGCAGAGGTCCTGTGTGGCTGGCGACTCCCATGTCGGCTTCGGCGCCATGGGCTGAAGCCTACAGCGGAAAAGCTTCCTCCGCCGCCTTCGGGACCTGGCTGTCGAGGTAGTCCGCGTGGTCGTTGGGGTGGACGTTCGCTGCCGGGTGCTGCACCTGCCCCATCAGCTCGTCGAACCTCACCTGGCAGGAGAACGTGGTGAGCTTGGTCTTGTCCGCCTTGGGGCGCTGCCACCTGGGCGGTATTTCCCCGTCTTGGCCCTGCGGGAGCTGCACCCCCAGGTCCACCACTGCGCGGTCATTGTGGGAGACCGCAAGCTCGATGTTGTCGTTGACTCCTTGATCGCCCGCATGCTGCGGCAGCTCCTGTGGCGCCGTGATGTAGTCTATGCGCTTGCCGTCCTCAGCGGACCTGGCCCTCGACGGAGTCCACGCAGCGTGGACATTGTTCCTGGACTGGGCCAGCGTGGAGGGCAGGCAGGAGTCGGTGCGCTTGACGCACTTGCGGAGGCAGGCCCCTGGGAGGTTCTCCTTCTGCGCGCCGTACTCTCCGATGCCGACCGTGGGGGCCGATCCCACCTGGGCGTTGGCGTCGACCAGGGAAAAGAGCCACGGGCTGGGGTCGGGCCTCTTGTCGACGATCCTTTGGGCGTGCCCCCACCAGTCCCTGATCCCCCCTGGGGGCCCGTGGCTGCGCGGGGCATGCCCTACCAGGATGTCGCAGTGGAGGAAGGGCGCCCTGATGCACACCAGCATGCGGGTCGGCCCCTTGTGTACGATCGCCACGTGCTGCCCCTGCAAGGCGGGGCCGTCCTCGCCCAGCTGGCCCACCGTGCTGACCCACAGCGAGACCCCGAAGCGTCCTCCTTCTGCGGCAGCAGTGTGGAGCACCAGGTAGTGGCCCACTCTCACGACGGACTCGGCGGGGGCCCTGGTCTCGAGCGCGCCGACCAGGTGGTGGCCCGCGCCCCCGAACTGCAGCGCTAGGGACTGCGTCCTTCCTGGGATGAGGACACCTGCGAAGGCTTTCCCCTTGCTCACCCTGGACTTCCTGGGGTCGAGCATCAGGACATTGGCCACTGCTAGCCGTAGCTTCCGTGGCTTGCTGGGTTGCCCCCCCCCCTCCTTTTGCCTCGCCCCCCCCCCCTGTGAGCCATTGTCTCCCTGGGACAGGTGCTTCAGGAGGAAGCTCTGGAGGCGTTGGGGCGGGGCCTCGAGGACAGGGGCGGGGTGGCCTGGGAGCGGGCATTGAAGTCTCTCGGCCTGAGGGGCAACACTGAGCCACAGCCAGGGCGCCTGCGGCAGCACCTGCCCCACGCGCCCCCAGAGGTCGAAGTCGTCGGGCCACGCGATGAGGCCGCCTCTGGCCAGCGTGGCGACGGCGTCGGCGAGCTCGTTCCACGGGTCCGCCATGTGGCCGCTGACGTGCGACCAGAGGATGTCCTCCGCTCTGCGTCTCAGCACCTTGACGACGCTGTCCAGGAAGCTGGCGTACGGCGCGTAGTGCTCCAGCGCGGCACCTCCTCTCCCGATGTCGACCACGTAGTTGCTGTCGGTGTAGAAGCTGATCACTGGCAGCTGCGCATGCTTGCCCGTCTCGCCCACAGCCACCTGGAGCTGCAAGAGCCAGAGGATCGCTGCAATCATCGCACAATTCTCTGCGGCCCCAGACGGCTGGCTGAACTGTTCCCCCAGCGTCGGCATCGCATCCCCCTTCGCGCCGATGAGCACGAACTCGTCGTCGCGCGTGTAGCCCAGCACGACGAAGGCCCAGGCCGGCGGCCCAGGAAGATGACCATGCGTGCTGCCGCCTGAGCCATCCGCGTAGATGAGTAGCGTCTCGAACAGGCTTGGATCAAAATCGCCCTGAAGACGCGAGCACTTGGAAAGCACTCCCTCGGTGGAGCTGTGAAGGTATTGCTCTCCGTATTCGACGAAACCCTTGTCGATGGAGATTGGCCGTGCTGCCCTCAGCACGGCCACGTCGGCTGCTGCGTCTGGAATTGGCGTGTCGACACCACTCCTTGGCAGCGCCTCTGAAGGTAAAGTCGTTGTGGCGGCACTGTCTACCGGGCCACGCCCCCCTGTCGCTTCCGTCGCCGCTGAAGACGGCAGCGGGGGCTGGCCCGGGTAAACTAGCCCAGCGGCCGCCAGTTGGCGCCCAGCCGCTGCCCCACTCTGACGCCCCTGATGGCGTTCTCGTCGGCGGCAGGCGGCGCCTGGCACTGCTGCAGCTCCTGCTGTGGGGAGCGGGCTGCCGCCACCTCGACCACGACTGGGTCGCCGTTCTCGTCCTTCATGACCTTGACGGCTCCCTCTGAGCTGTCCGTGGCTGCGCCTCCAGACGACAGGGCCAGCCTCCTCTGGCCTGGCGGCGGCGGCTCCGCAAACGCCTTGGCTGGAGACTTGGCGGCCTTGCCTGCGCTCGCGCTCTTCTGGCTGGTGGGCAGCCCCCCTCCACCTGGAACGGGGATGCCCTCCGCCCCTGCGGCCCGCGGTGGCTGGCCTTGGAGGGGCTGCCCATTGAGCGCCGCAAGGATCTGCCCCAGCGTGTCATGCATGGACCCCATCTGTGTCTCCAGCTTCGCCACGCGGTTCTGATCTTGGGCCGCGCCCGTGTGTGACTATGCTGGCCTCACTGGCATCTGCTGCTGCCCTGACGAGCCTCCTCCGTAGGCGTCGTCGTCCGCGCCCTCGATCTCCTCGTCGCTGTCGTCCGGCACCGCCGCGTCCCTGGCGAACTTGTGCGCGGCTGGCTCCGCAGCGGCGGGGGCTCCGCCCTCTGGCGGGTAGGCGCACCAGTGTTCAAGCTGAGCCATCTGCGCCATGAACTCCTGCGCGTGCTGGTACTCCTTCAGGGCCTTGGCCGTCTCCGCCCTGTACGCCTCCGCCGCCAGCTCCGCGGCGAACTGGGCGCCCTTGGCGGCCGTCAGCGCTTTCTTGGCCTTGTTGACGAACTGCTCCTGCTTCTCCATGCGCGTGGTCGGGTCCTTAGCTAGGATGACCTGGCAGTGGAACGCAGCGTACTCGTTCTCCGCCTGCTTGAGGCGCTGCGGGGAGACCTGCTCCGGCGGCATGCTGCGGATCGCCCTCACCGCCTCTGCCGCCGCCACCATCGCCTTGCGCAAGGACTCCCTGTGGCGCTTGAGTCCTGCGGCGATCGGCGGGGCGGTCAGCCAGCTGGGGTGATGCTGCGCCTGCTTCGGCAGCATGGGCAAGATGCCGATGTTGCCCGAGGCCGCTGGCACTCCAGCACCTGCATATCCGTGGTCTCCTGCCGCAGTTCCTCGCCTGTGACCTCCTCTATCTGCCGAGGCAGAGCGCTTCCTCCAGGGGGCTCGGCCTTGTCCTTCTGGCCTCCACCTCCTCCCCCATCGGGCGCTCCGCAGCCTCTGCATGTCGCTCTCGACGCAAAGTTGTCCTGGCTGCACCTCACGGAAGAGCAGCGCCAGTATGACGTATGGCCTGTCGAACGTGACGATGCACGACCCCCTAGCGCCATCCTGCCGCTGCTGTGGTGCCTGTCCAGTAGGCCTGCCGCCGCGCCAAGCCGCAGGAGCACGCGTGCGTTGGCACGCTCCTTGCGGCGGCGGCGGCGCCAGGCCGGATCCCGATCGGGGCCGCGCGGCGCGGCGGCGCCCGTGGTCGCGCGACCGCGGAGGAGGAGATAGGGAGGAGGAGGAGGAGGAGGAGGAGGAGGAGGAGGAGGAGGAGGAGGGGAGGGGGAGGAGCAGCAGCAGCGAGGGGCAGGGACACTCGGGAGAAGGAGGAAAAGGAGAAGCAGGAGACGGAGCTGCGAGGGGCAGAAGAAAGAGGAAGGAGTGCGGCGTCGTCGTCGTCGACGCCACCGCCGCCGCCGCCACCGCCACCGCCGCCGTCGTCGTCGTCGTCGTCGTCGTCGTCGTAAAGAGGATAGGAAGGAAGGAGGAAAGGAGGACAGGAGGAACGAAGGAGGCAGGATGCAGGGAAGGAGGAAGCAGGAGAGGAGGAGGAGGAGAAGGAGGAGGAGGAGGAGGAGGAGGAGGAGGGAGGGGAGCCCCCCCTCCCCGAAATTCCCGACTGGGCGCAGGCGTGGCGCCCGACTGCACCACAGGCTGGCCACGGCGGCCCAGGGCCAGTCTCGGGCGCTCTCAGGTGAGCTTCTCTGCGGCGGCGCCCGCGGCGGGTGACGCCCCCTCGATGCGGGGACAGCAGGCGACAACAACAAGACCGAGGACACACTCTGGGAGATGTCTTGCGCATACAGACGGTTCGGGGGTTGCTGGAAAGGTGCCCCTGGCCCCAGGTGCCACCGGCTTTTCGTTCGGTTTGGGACACCCTGGGGCTCTCGGCCTCGCGAGGGGCGCTCTGGAGGCCGCGGGGACCTCCTTGGAAATCCCAGGGGTCCCTTGGGCCAGGGGCACTCCTGGCAACACCCGGAGAAATGGTCGGGACACTGAGCCCAGCCTCGTACTTCCGATCCCCATCCCTAGCGGCGTGGGCTGGGCCCCACTGGCCGATTTACCCCCCTAGATGGGGATATAGGCCGTTCCATTCGAGTTTCGAGGGGTGCATCCCCAACTGGGGTGGTAATTTCGAAGGGGATGGGGATGGGGATGAAGACTTGTTAAGCAATACCGAGCTGTGGTCGATGTGGCGTCCCAGGACGGCCACATCGACCACAGCCACAACCAAAGAGCGCACGTCGAGGTCGGTGGCCTCTCCCCCGAGTGACCCTCCCGGGGTGAGTTTCTCCGCGGCGCCGCTCGCGGCGGGTGGTGGCCCCCTCCAAGGATGAGGCGAAGACCAGAGACTCCCTCGAGTCATGAAAAAAATCAAGACGAAACAAGGGCTCCAAACTTCGCGCTTCGCGCTGCGCGAAGCGCGAAGTGCGAATAACTTCGCGCTCTCGCGCCGCCTCCCAAGGGAGAAGAGGAGGAAGAGGAGGAATCCGAGCCGAACCGCGAAGCGCGAAGCGCGAATAACTTCGCGCCCTCGAGGGCGCCCTTGACGAAAGGTGTTTCGCCATGTTCGGCCTCTGGGGGCCCTTGCCAGGCCTCGGGAGCGTCACAAAGCGGCTCGGGATGAAAGACCAGTCCCGGGGCATGATTCGAGACCTCTGGCGGTAAGACGAGGCCAGAACGAAGACAACTTCGGACGAGAATAAATCGAGAATCTCTGAGATCCGGCAGCTCTGGAGGATGCCTTAGGCGCCGCGGCCTTCTTAGAGCGTTCCGGGAAGCTCTGAGGGCGTTCCAGAACGCTCTGGAACGAATTCATCTTCGTCCTAGCCTCGACCAGGGAGGCAGGATCGGTCAGCATCGAATCGGCAAATCGAGCCGAATCGACAGGTGCATCGGATAGGGCTGCATCGGCACAGGATCGAGATAGAATCGGATCGGCTGCGCCAGGATGCACAACAGCGCCATGCAGGGATCGGGCAGCATCGGATCGTCGGAAGGTCGGAATCGAATCAGATCGGACCAGCCGGAATCTAATCGGATCGATCGGATCGAAATTGACCCCAGGAGTAGGGACGCGACCTGGGATTGGCGGGCGCTTTGCTTTCATTGTAGATCTATATATATATATATATATGTATGTGTGAAAACAACAACAACAACAACAACAATCATTTTACCCGAACGCTCAGTGTTCTCCCCAGTGCCAGGGTTTTCATGCGACGCCAGCCAATACCCCCACTTCGTGGGGGGGCAATGCAAGCTCTACCAAACATCCACACGACTCTCGGGAACCACCCACACCCAGCTTCCCGCCCTATGACGTCAGGACACTTCACTTCGTGGCGCGCGGACGATCGTGGATACTACACTGGCGTGGAGTACACACCCGCAGAGGTTAATCACTTGTTTGGGCCCCGCATGTGCCCCGCATCGTGCATTTGTTGCGCATGATATGAGAGCAAGACAGAGAGAGAGAGAGAGCAAGACAGAGAGACAGAGAGAGAGAGAGAGAGCAAGACAGAGAGCCAGAGGAGAGCTACGGTGCGATTCGTGTGATTTTATGATGCGCGGTGCTAACATTCTTAAAAACCCAATGGTTTTTGTAGATTTCGGCGTGCGCGCGCGAAGAAAAAACGAATGTGTCCCGCATGGTATTATTTGACAGGGATGATGGCCCTGGCAGGTGCGCAACCGTTGTCGCAGAAGTTCGAAAAAGTTGCTCGCAAAAGCCCGTTTGACAGAAATGTTTAAAAAGTGTTGGTTTCCTACGAATCCGCAAGAGCGCGCGGGATGAGATTTTGACAATTTTTTGTTGAAAAACCATTGGGTTTTTGATGTTTTTATGTTAAAATCGCTACGAACACTAAGGTTTTGGAAGGATTTCGTCTTGCGCGCGCGAATGTCCACTTTACCTTATTTTTTGCAAGGGATTCTTGAAATTTGATTATATTAGAACAAGAAATGTCATTTTATAGTGTTTTTTGCAAGGGAAAACGGACTACAACAAAACAACCGGATCCGGTACTAATCCACTTTTCTGAAGCTTTCGCGAAAAAATGATGAAAATGTAGCTGCGGCCTAGGTTTTGGAGGGGGGTCGCGCACCAGGGGTCCCAACAATAATTATTCTTTAGAAGAAATAATGTTCAACAACAACAACAACAACAACAATCATTTTACCCGAACGCGCGGTGTTCTCCCCAGTGCCAGGGTTTTCATACGACACCAGGCAATACCCCCACTTCGTGGGGGGGCATTACAAGCTCTACCAAATATCCAAACGACTCTTCGCGACCACCCAAACCCAGCTTCCCGCCCTATGACGTTGGGACACTTCACTTCGTGGCGTGCGGACGACCGTGACTACTACACTGGCCTACGACGACGACGAATGTGTCCCGCATGGTATTATTTGACAGGGATGATGGCCCTGGCAGGTGCGCAACCGTTGTCGCAGAAGTTCGAAAAAGTTGCTCGCAAAAGCCCGTTTGACAGAAATGTTTAAAAAGTGTTGGTTTTCCTACGAATCCGCAAGAGCGCCGATGAATTTTGACGCAAGATGGGATTGGTTTTGTTGATTGGTTTTTTGATGTTTTTATGTTAAAATCGCTCCGAACACTAAGCTTTTGGAAGGATTTCGTCTTGCGCGCGCGAATGTCCACTTTACCTTATTTTTTGCAAGGGATTCTTGAAATTTGATTATATTAGAACAAGAAATGTCATTTTATAGTGTTTTTTGCAAGGGAAAACGGATTACAACAAAACAACCGGATCTTGATGACATCGTATTACCTGAGGCTTCCTCACGAAAATGATGAAAATGTAGCTGCGGCCTAGGCGGCGCAGGGGGGCCGTGCACCAGGGGTCCCAACAATAATTATTCTTTAGAATTAATAATGTTTCAACAACAACAACAGAAGCAGCAACAACAACAACAACAGCAACAACAACAACAACCACAACCACAACAACAACAACAACAACAACAACAACAACAACAACAACAACAACAACAACAACAACAACGACAACACAACGTAAACATAAAATGTCAGAAATCCGCGCACATTTCTCGAATCGGTTCTGAACCCCGCCCCCCCGTGGCGGCGCCTCTGGCGCCGATCCAAGAAATCCTCCCGGACATCCGAAACGTGTTGTCTATGCACTTTCTCTTCTATGTAAACCCCTGAACACCCCTGGAGACTCCCTCCTCTGTGTTCGGGTCAGGGTTCCCCCGCCCCCGGACCCCCAGCAGCATCAGGAGGCTGCCGAAGTGGAACCGCAGCGACGGGCCGACGATCAGGTTGGCCAAGTAACCGATGCCGGGCATGGTGCCCTCGCCGCAGGGAGGGCAGTTCCGTCAGTCCTTAGCTCGCCAGCGCTCGGACGTCCTTTCCCCGTGCATGTTCGGCTTCGGGCGCGTGTTTCTTCGCAAGATGGCCCAGAATGCTCCTCGATGGCCATCGCCGAACAAAACAACAACAACAAAACGCGTCCGAGCGATGCCAAGTTAGAGGGGTTCTCGCCTCGGGGTGCTTTCTAGCAGCTGCGTCTCGTCCAAAGAGCTTTGGGGGCGAACGAGTCGTCCCGATCGGCTGCAGGAGGTGCGAAAACAAAAAACGCTGCGGCTGCTTTGCCACAAGTAACCCCGTGTCGGTTGCTGACTTGTGTTAACAATACATGTTCGCTGGAAGAGGATGTACATGATCAAGACAACAAGAAAGATGATGAGAGGAGAGACCGCGACTCACCGCAAGTTCGGCGCTCCATCTGCGCTGTATATATATATAGACAAACAGGCAGACAGACGGACAAACAGACATACGTGCGTGCGTGCGTGCGTGCGTACGTACGCACATACAGACATACAAACACACACACACACACACACGCGCGCATACATACATGCATGCATACAGATATACACATCTAGATCTGTAACTGTATACATGCGCGCATATACATATACAGGTACATAGGGAATCCAAACCGTTCCACCACCTACCTGCAGGGGCGACGGGTGGAGCCACGTTGGTGCCGAAATTCTCAGCGCAAGCCAGACAGGTGAATAGACAAAAGGAGCACGGGAGCGGAAGACGTGACCACCACCGCAGACTACTACGACTAATACGACGACGACTACTACTACTACTACTACGACAACGACGAACACGAAGACTACGACTACAACGACTACGACTGCTATTACTACTACTCCTACTACTCCTACTACTACTACTACTACTACTACTACTGATACTACTACTACTACTACTACTACTACGACAGCGACTACTACTACGACTACTACTACTACTACCACTACTACTACTACTACTACTACTACTACTACTACTAATACTACTACTACTATCACTAGCACTACTACTACTACTACTACTACTACGACTACTACTACTACTACTACTACTACTACTACTCCTACTACTACTACTACTACTACGACTACTACTACTACGACTACTACTACGGACTACTACTACTACTACTACTACTACTACTACTACTACTACTACCTACTACTACTACTACTACTACTACTACTACTACTACTACTACTACTACTACTACTACTACTACTATTACTACTACTACTACTACTACTACTACTACTACTACTTCTACTACTACTACTACTACTACTACTACTACTACTACTACTACTACTACTACTACGTCAATTACTACGACAACGACGGCGACGACGACTACGAATACCACTACTACTTCTACAACCTCTGC